CTCCAATAACCCACGCAACCATAAAGCCTCCTTAATAGCTTCAGTAACTGCCATATACTCTGCCTCTGTAGTAGAGAGAGCCACTGTGGACTGAAGCGTGCAACGCCAACATACAGGTGCACCTGCCAAAGTAAAAGCATAACCTGACGTAGACCGGCGTTTGTCAAGATCTCCAGCATAATCTGAATCCACATATCCAATACAAGCCTGCCCATCCTTCTCATCCTTCTGAAATACTAAACCAACATCCACGGTGCCTCGAACATACCGTAGAATCCACTTCACGGCCTCCCAGTGACCCTTCCCGGGGTCATGCATGTATCTCGATACCATGCTCACGGCCTGTGACAAATCTGGCCTCGTACACACCATCGCATACATCAAGCTACCTACTGCACTAGCATATGGGACCTTCGACATATAATCTCTGTCCTCAACTGAAACAGGTGACATCAACGCTGAAAGCTTGAAGTGGGGAGCCAATGGTGTGCTAACTGCTTTTGCATTGCCATCAAAGCTGAATTTCTTCAACATCTTCTGCAAGTAGCTCTTCTGTGTAAGCTTCAATTTCCCCTTCACCCTGTCTCGCTCGATCTCCATACCCAATATCTTCTTTGCCTCTCCAAGATCCTTCATCTCAAACTCGGATGATAACTCCTCTTTCAGCTTTCGAATAGCCGAAGAATTCCTGGAAGCAATAAGCATATCATCAACATATAAAAGCAAATATATGAGCTCACCATCCTGTAGCTTGTGCATATAAACACATGGGTCATATGGGCTCCTCGTGTACCCTCGGCCAATCATAAAGCCGTCGAATCTCTTATACCACTGTCTTGGTGACTGATTCAAACCATAAAGAGACTTCTTCAGCTTACAAACCAAATTTTCCTTTCCTGCAGCTTTGAACCCTGTGGTTGTGTCATGTAGATCTCCTCATCTAAATCACCGTGTAGAAAGGCTGTCTTCACATCCATCTGGACCAAATCCAAATCCAACTGTGCCACCAACGCCAATAAAATCCGAATCGACGAATGCTTCACAACGGGTAAAAATACCTCGTTGTAATCAATGCCCTCAAGCTGTGCATATCCCTTGGCAACTAATCTGGCTTTGAACCGAATGTCCCCAATAGAAGATCCCTCCTTCTTCGCATATACCCACTTGCAACCAATAGCTTTCTTACCCTTAGGTAGATGTGCAAGTGTCCAAGTGTCATTCTTCTGAAGAGATCGCATCTCCTCCTCCATAGCTTCCCTCCACCTGATCGAATCGGTGCTAGACTCTGCCTCCTTGAATGTGGCTGGGACCATATCATCAACGACATCCACTGATAATGCATATGCGACCATGACATCATTATACCTAGCTGGCCGACGAATCTCTCTCCTCGGTCTATCTGCTGCAATGGTCCTCTGAACATGACCCTGTTCCTGAGTCCCATGATCTACTGTATCCTGTATCTGCCCATCTGTCATCTCATCTCCTCCCAGTGTCACCTCTGTAGGAGCCTCAATGGATACAGTGTTCTCTGGAGTGGGTTGAGTCACATCATCCTTCACCTGCTGCGATATCTCTCCTGTCTGGTCTCCCTCCACCTGCTGAGGGGCTCGAGGCCTCATCATGTACGCCTCGTCAAATGTGACATCTCTGCTAATAACTATCTTCTTGTCCTGTGGATCCCATAACTTGAAGCCTTTGACTCCATCCCTAAATCTCACAAAGACTGCTTTCCTCGCTCTCGGATTTAATTTGCCATCACTGACATGATAATAAGCTGGACACCCGAATATCCGAAGCGACTCATAGTCACTAGCCACCGAACCAAACCAACGCTCCAAAGGAGTCTTCCCGTCTATCGCAGTGCACGGCAACCTGTTCACAAGATGGCTCGCATAAACCAACGCCTCGGCCCAAAAAGATCTAGGCAATCCACTCTGCGTCATCATACACCGCACCTTCTCCAGCAAGGTACGGTTCAATCTCTCAGCCACCCCGTTCTGTTGCGGTGTCTCTCGAACTGTGAAGTGTCTTCTAATACCGTGATCCCGGCAAAACTGCAGAAACGGATCACTCTTGTACTCTCCACCATTATCTGAACGTAGAGTCTTCACCTTTCTACCTGGCTGCAGCTCCACTTTCTTTTTCCACTCCACAAAAATATCTAGGACCTGATGTTTATGCTTCATCGGGTATACCCAATTCCTCCTAGAATAATCATCAATGAAAGTGACAAAATAGTTGGCCCCACCAAGAGATGTGTTCTTGGAAGGACCCCAAACGTCCGTGTGAATATAATCCAATGTACCTTGGGTGTTATGAACAGCGGTGCCGAACTTCACTCTAGTCTTCTTCCCAAGTACACAATGCTCACACAATTCCATCTTGCAGGTCTTAGCACCTTTCAATAGCCCATGTTTAGCCAATGACTGTAGGGACTTATCTCTTGTGTGTCCAAGTCTCATGTGCCATAAGGTGGTTGTGTCCTCCTCTGTAGTGATAGAAGCTGCCAGACCCTCTGTAACTGTCTTGCCCTTCGAGTAGTATAGGTAGTTTTCCCTGACACCTCGCATCACCACCATAGAACCCTTCGTGACCTTCACTGTAGCATCCTCTAAGATCACTCGATATCCTGCTGCCTCCAAAGTCCCAAGAGAAATGATGTTCTTCGTCAACTGCGGCACGAACCTCACTTCCTTCAATTCCCTCACTACACCATCATGCATCCTGATCCGGACTGAACCAATACCACCAATAGGGCATATGTGATCATTACCCATAAGCACGACATCCCCTCTTTCCAGCTCCTCAAAGCTAGAAAACCACTCCCTCTTAGGGCAGATGTGATATGTAGCTCCCGAATCCATCATCCACTCCGTGGAATCCGCATAGCAAACCGACGGTAAAGCAGGGCATGAATAGCCTGAAGAATCTGAATCTGAATGCTCACCAATAGCTTTTGCAACATTCACTTCTGAAGCTTGTGCAGCTTTCCCCTTATTCTTTCCGGTTTTTTCTTTCCACTTTGGGCAGTCAATCTTCCAATGTCCTTCTTCTTTACAATACCGACATTGATTTCTACCAACACTCTTATAGGCACTCCTATTCTTTGACTTTGAGCGGTTGAACTGACGACGGTTTGGATCTCAGCCTCGAACTGCTAACGCATCTCCCGATGCCTTCTCGGAGGGTTCACCATCACTCTTCCTCAACTCATAGTTCACCAAAGCTGAGGTCACCTCCTTGTAGCTAACTGTAGTTCTTCTATTGATCATAGTGAGAACGAACGTACCATAATCATCTTCGGGCAACGAACACAGAAGTAACATCGCTTTGTCTTCATCCTCAACTATAATATCAACATTGGCCATATCTGAAAGTAGCTTAGTGAAATTGTTGATATACTCTCTGATCGAAACTCCCCTCTTCATCTTGAACCGGTAAAATCTCTTCTTCAAGTGAAGCCGATTCTCAATGCTCTTCGTAAGATATTTCTCATTGAGTGTTTCCCACATCTTCTTCGCCGACGTCTCGTTCATAACATCATAAATAAGATCCGGCGTCAAGCATGACCTAATAACACCACAAGCTCTACTGTTCATCTTTCTCCAAACCTTATCCTCCAACTCAGCGGGTTTCTCTTTTAACTCAAGAGTCTCCTCCAAATTCTGTGCATCCAAAGCATCCATCACCTGACACCTCCACAATCCAAAATTGATCTTGCCATCGAACTTCGGAACATCAATCTTCGTGTTATTGATGCTCAGACTCTGTATCGCCTTTGTTAGAGACGAACCTGACGTGCTTGCATCTCCCATGTTGTCGATCACAAAACGAACCGGGTCGAAAACCTGAAAGCCCAGCCCAAAACAGCGTCGGTCGACCGGCACGGTCGACTGCGATCAATTCCGGTCGACCGGTCGACCGACCAGCTCCCAGCAGAAAACCCAAAACTCCAGAGAACCCCTCAGTCGACCGCACCGGTCGACCGAAACACCTACGGTCGACTGGCCTGGTCGACCGACCACCTTTCTGTCGCACAGTAAGCTTTGTGCACGAATGCGGTCGACCGGACCGGTCAACCGCTGCCTGGTTTGCCTGATTCTTCTGAGTTTCTGTAATTTCTTCAATAAGAAATAAGCGCATTCGTTGGAAGTTAGAGATTGAACCTACAAAATGAGAAAAATCATTTGAGATAATTAAGTCTAGTGCAATGGAGACTATTAAATGCACAAATAGAATAAGTGATAAAAAATATAATTAATGGAGTAAGGAGGACTAGAGGTAGGCATGTGAGAACTTGATTAGGAGAAGTAAGGAAAATATAGTAATGATTACAATAATGATTAAATTAGCGGAGGATATAAGTCTCAACAGAACCGAGTGGAATAGTAGGATTCATGTAACCGACCCCAAATTTTGGGATAGAAGGATTTATTTTGTTCTTTTCCTTTGGTCCACTACTTAGGTTGACAGGGTACCAGGATCCCTGTTATTACATAATTCCTGTGAGTGGCAGTTATATAGTTGCAATAATCTATTTTGTATCAATGTCATACATTTTTCTTTTTAATAAGGTGACATTTTCCCCAGGGTAGCATAACATCTTTTTTGCTCTTGAATATGCCGTTCGCTTTACACCAATTATTATCAGATGCAAACAAGAACAGTTTCCAGCAATTACTCTTTCACCTCATTCTTTACCCACCACAAGCAAACTGCATACAACTAAGATTTTCTTCCAATTTTAATTTTATAAACTGCATTTTAGTAAGACTTACTTTAAATCTATCCTCCTTTAATGCCAGGTATATTGAATTATAAGGCATTTCCAATGACAAAAACTCCCAAAGGCTAATAAATTTCTTCGAGCTTGTCATAATCTTATTTAAATTCTCCCGATTTATCACCATCTTCTTACAAGATAAAATGTTAACTTAGTAGTCAGCTTTACGGGCTTCTGCTCCATGACTTTAAAAAAGCTTCATTAACTCCGTAATACAGAGAAAATAATGTTCACCGTTTATCTATTTTAATAATAAACTATCATCCAGTTATAACAAGCAAGTTTGATCATAATGATTTACAATGGTGCCTTCTCGGAAGATAAACTAACACATTCTCACGAACTAGAACTACTATGACCAATGAATAACTTATGTTCCTTTAGTGGCAAAGAACTGCATAGCCCGGTGAGGCGTATGGACAGATACTTGGGGGTTAAAGCAATATCACTGGAGACAACTCCCAGAAAAGTTACTGATTCATCGATGTAAAAACAATGTTTTCTCCTTAAGTATGATTTCCTTAGGTCAAGTTATACTGTTCCCATGCTTGTTACACCGAACACATTGGGGAAGTCTTGAGGCTCTTATCTAATGTTCAAAAACAATGGTCTTTCATATTTATGGAATAAGAAACTGGGAAGTGTGTGGTTGAGAAAGGGAGATCTAGTATTGCGGAACCAACTCAAGATGAAGCTAAAGAATGTGAAAAAAGCATTTAAAGGTAGCATGATCTTCGTTAAACAAATATTCAAGAGAAGAATCTCCCAGAGAGGTTGCAAACAGAATTGACATGGGGAGAGCTTGGTAAGACCGAAGGGATCACATTATGCAGTTCTATAGGCTACATTGATAACTTGGGGTGGGTGACAGAAAAAGTCTTCTGCTGATATCAGAAATATAAACAGGTTTCTAGCTAAATTAGTGGTGAAAAAATCAAATTGTATCCTATAACTGATAATTCAAGAAGTCACTTCAAGCATGATTCTCCAGAATGACAGGGAAAGATGACTTTCTTATTTATTGTGTTAGTTAAAAGATAATGCTCATCTATCGGAGGATCCTGGTATTCATGATTCTTTTCTTTCATAAAGATTTTATGTTAAAGGGAAAATATAGGGCTTGATGGCTTTGAGAAAGATAGAAATTTAGAGAAACCTTGTATACGTAATCGCAGAATAAATAATCGGGTAGAGAAAACTGTCAGAAAAGGATACATATAGGTAGCAAAGTCAGAAGACAGCCTCCACCACCAGCCTCGGTCAACTTGGATGCCAATTTATACCTTTAGAGTTGTTTGGAGCACCTTGCTGGAGGCATGGTTCACTCCCATGCATTGCAGTACACCTTGATTCATCTCCATCAGCTCTTCTATCTTCTCATCCTTTGCAGTAACAGAGATGTCATCTGGAGCGGGTGACTGAATAATGGTAGACATCTCCTTGCTAATAGAATCAACAGCAGTAAACACAGATGACATAGCATCTGGATACCGTGAAGCTCTTTCAGATACACCACCAACCAGTGCTTTTGTGTTTCTCCCCACTTTTGTATTGGTTATGAGCATTTTCAGAGGTGTGGTAGGTTTCATGTGTGCCAACTCACCAGATTTGAACATGGTCATGCTTCCTACTGCAATAAATCCATCATGATCAGATCTTAACAACATCCATGAAAAAAAATGTAAACTGGAAAATGAGAATTCCAGGCAAATATAATTCCAGAGCTGAGAAACAGAGAGGTGTCCCCAAACTTTACAGCATGTAACTTCGTAAGGTAGAATAAGAGAACCAATCCAAAGCAAGCAAATGATGTCTTGGGTAACTAGCTATGAAACTGAAAATAGATGATGATAGATTGCTGGTGTCAGCAGAAGTCCAACTTATTGTAGAGGATACCCAGAATGGAAAGGTCTATAACCAAAATGTAATATGAATATCCAAATATTTTACTGTTGAAACAAGGAAAGGGTCCCAGCAGTGACCACTAAGCAGCCAGTTTTTGTCCAACTGAGAGGTAACTATTATTCTAACTTCATTTGAAACTGAAGTTTGGAATAATATAATTAACTTCAATTTTGAAGTTTGGAATAATATAATTAACTTCACTTTCAAGAGTTATCAATAGTTCTTACAATTGGCCTATACTGGGGTGCATTAAGAATTTAGGGTCAGATATGAGGAACTAGTTTTGCTTCAGACCTCAAATACCCAACCAATCTAGTGCAAATTTTATCGCATCCTTATGCCATCTAACTACCTCGAGATGTGTGTGTGGCGTGCGTGCGTGCCCGTGCATGCACGTCCGCCTGTGCTTGTGTGTGCACCCACGAGCACATGTACGTGTGAGTTTTATTAGACAACATATGCTGAATACATTCATAAATTTAAGCTTTAGTATCATATGGAACTCATCATTTGGAGGCGAAGCATTGATATTATAAAACTATATTCATCAGCAATGGGTATGATATGCAGAATGGACAGAGCTTGTACAGAGATCACCTTGACATGCACACATAACATAATTGCCAAAGAGTAACACCAACAGGAAAAGGGGGGAAAAAGGTTATAACAGACACGAAGTGTGCAAAAATAAGATAGAAAACAAATTGTAAGGATAGAATGCATGCAATAACCATAATTTGGAGGTGCATATAGTAAAGTGCATGAATATATGTATGGCAGAAAGGACCAGAGCCTTTTATTCAGATAAAGACAAGTTTTTCCATTTTCAAGTTTTTAAGTACAGATACTAATTATAGTTTTGCTTCTAATTGAGCAAGAAGATGAAATTACTTATACCAGTATTAATGCGCAAAACCTTAAAGAAGTGTGCAAATAATGCATTATGTAGTCCTTCCCACATAACACTTGCAGAAGGATGAGTTTTCAGTGAATAAGAAAACCGTGTACATGAGAATGCTAAATCAAATTACATACCAAATGAGCTCACTGTGTTATCAATACCAGAAGGCTTGCCATGAATAATTTTTTCACCCTCGAACACCCATTCATTCACGAGCTTTAGTTCATTCTCCCCTAATGTGATACTCTCAATGGGATCAGAAAGTGCAAGAAGAGCTGCTGCAATTGCGACACAAAAAGAAGCAGATGATCCTAGACCTGATCCCAATGGAAGATCTGAAGTCATAGCCACCTTGGCCGGCTTAAAACTAGAAATAATAACACGGAATTAAACAGTTTTCTAATCAAGAATCTTGGAGATGTTAGAATATATATGTTAGTAACAAATTGACTATGTTCAGCAGAACTGAAGAACAGGTCTTCTAACTTAAGTATATGACGTTACGGGGTATGTAGCACTAAGAAATCTGCAGATACATCATAACAAAGATAAATACATAGTACATACAGCAAATCGCAAAAGACTCATATAGTATGGTCACACCTACAAAATGTAGCAGTTTAATGTGCACACAGATAGACAAGTACATGCCCACGTAGTTGATCAAAGAAATGTGACCAAAAACACAAAATGCCCAATGACATTTTTATATTAAATGGGAAGCACTGATGCTGATACTTGAGAGTTGACTGAACTTATTGCTACAATTGATGAACATTAGGGCTTCATATATTTGAATAAATGCTTAGTAATAGTTTTTGTACCTTTGGCTTTTTAGTCTTTCCATGAGGTGCTTGAAATATATAGATTTTTCCAGGATCTAATGACATCAAGGACTCCTGATCCAGGTCAAGCATTTTATCAGAATGCCATTGAGTCCTACAAAATCATACCATCTGGTCAAGTTGGGTCCTTCACATCCAAATTAAATGCAAAATATAATTCCTGGTAAATAGCAGTATAGCCCGATGTTTTTTTAATAAAAATAAGAAACATAGATCACGGAATCACAATAATGTTCTAAGCTTGTATTAGATATCTCATTAAAATTTCAAATTTACTACCTGTATAAAAGTGGCATAGCGACCTAACAAGGATTTTCATCGTCGAAAAGCAGTTTCTGATCTTCCATCTTTGTTCAGTTCGGGTCCACTTTGGAATCTTCGTGTGGTAGAACTTTGGAAACACTAGTTTCTTCTGTTAGGAAATTTCAATCAGATTCATTTTTAACGAATTTCTGACAATTTTGCAAGGTAAAATTTCTTAACAGTAGAACTTTTTTCACATAGCATCTACTTTCTTAAATAAACATTCCACCATTCTTTCTTCATGTGAATTAGTGAAGGCATATATTGCAAGCCTCTGATTTCTTAAGATTAATCTGATATGACACTACACTCATGTAAAGAATAATATTATGGCCATGGTTATTAACTTCATCATTTGAATATATAACTCTTATTTCGTGGACAGGTTGTTACTGCTTTTCCTATTTATTCTAACCTGTAACTTTTATAACCAAGTAATTTTTTTTACATATTTTCTTTTTATATGTGAGAATGATCATTCCTTGTTTCCCTTTTACTTTTTTTTAAAATGCTTTTGTGACTATTTTAGCATTACTAGTTTGTTGGGATGAAGATAGTCACTTGTTTGACAACGTGAAATAAAGTTTACCCTTTCTTGGGAATTGATGTATATAAGATTGGATGCTCCACTAAATTTATGAGAGCATAAGTGCTTATGATACTTTTCTTTGACTCTTCTTCATGCGTACTCATTCCAGAAAAAAGTCACTGGTATGCATACATTATACATTTCATTGATATTTGAGAACTCTTCTGTGCTGACTCTATGACCCTAACGTATCTAACTGGCAGATTGATTCTAATAGTTTGTCATAGGTCCAATGGGTTGCCATAATGTTTCCTCAAGCATGTGGATATAAATTCAAACTCCAGTCGAAACTACATGCAAATCTGACCTAATTCATCATCAGTTAATTAGACATTTACTTCAGAACCGTTCCTACATCTTCAGAATGTTCCCCGTTCAGAACTACGACGTACCTATATAACTTGATCTAATTTTCCAGCTTGATTGATTGGTCTCGTCCACTGACTTCTGCTACCAATGTTTCATTGTCTCTTTATGATGCCTGCTGCCTTCTACATATAGAGTTGGCAGTGTTCCTTAAAATATGATTTTATTTAGCCTGTTGTAACAAAATCTCCCGTATTTGCTAGTGATAACGTCAAAAAAAATTCTCTCTTTCAATGCCATTCTCCATTGCACTTTTTTTTTTAAACCAGAAAGTCAAGTTTTTCCCTAACTTCTATGAATGTTCTACCCAACACTAATCTTAATGCATTTTATGTTCTCTCATCTCTCATCCAATATCTCCAATGTTCCTGTATATATAGAAATAACTACTATTTACATGCCACTTACTCATACTTAAATTTGCAGGGATATCCAACAAATATGTAAAAAATAATATATGAATCCAAGAGGTACTATCTAAACTTTAATAAAATCTGAATTCCTAGAATCTTTGTAGCATAAAAGAATTGGACAAAATGACTAATTCCTCCTTAAAATACTGTTGAATTCCTACATTCCCATCTAAAGTATCAATTTACCTACTTTTCCGCTTGTACTATGTGTAAGGACTCATCTCGCTGGGACAACGAAGAGCCAAGCCGGGATAGGCCTAAGCGGAGGAGTCGAGATCATCTCGCCCGAATTAGCAAAGAGAAACCGAAGGCAATGACAGGGGCACCATCAACACCATCAACGGTGGCCCAGCAACTAGAGGGATGTCAAACAAAGCTCGGAATATTATGCTCGGTGAACCCTTGAGGTGATGATACAAGAGATCTACAAGACGAGATGACTGAAAAGCGCGAGACGACTAAACAGATGGACGAGACGAGACTCGACTCGACTCGAACTAGACGAGACGACAACAAACCAGGCGAGACGAGATGACGACTCGAGGCGAAGCAACCCAGACGAACAGACGACTCGAGGCGACAGGACGAGATGACAGGCGACAGGACGAGATGACAGGCGACACGAAAGGCGGAACCACTCGACATACTTAGTCGACTCATGTCCAGTTAACACGAAAGGCGGTACTACTCGGCACGCCTCGTGTCGACTTGGAAAACAGATTAGGAAAGGAGTTCATTTTTGGTTATTTCCTTTTAGAATTAGAGTTTCTTTTTTATTAGAGTTAGGATAGATTTATTCGGCTTTATATAATAGTTTCTTTTGTAAATCAAACAATTAACTTTTCATTATTCAATCAAGAGGATTTTTCTCCTTGTTTTCGTTCTCAAATTTGAGAAACTTAGAGCTTGTTGATTCAAGCTCGTGAATTACCTACTATTGTCAGGGCTCGTTGGCATCGGAACGATATCCGATCGGCCTCCCCGTTTCTACGTCTGCGTCAGGTGAACTTGTACAGTTGTACGAGAACAAGCCTAATGTGAATCAATCCATAACCTTCCCCATCGCCGATATGGAAGGTGTAATGACACCTTATGATCCTATCATCACCTCTACCCAATTCAACGGGTTCCGAGTAGAGGATTATGGTGGACATAGGAAGCTCCGCTGATGTCCTATTCTCGGACGCATTCAACCAAATAAAAATCGACAGATTAAAACTACAGCCATCTCCGAGTCATCCAATAGGCTTCTCGAGTCATTCAATTCAATCGAAAGGGTTGATTGCCCTACCAGTACCAATGGTCGTTGGTGATTATTCCCGCTAATCTACGATCTGAGTCCAGTTTATTGTGATGGACGTCAAGTCAGCCTCTAGTGTTATACTTGGGAGAACCTCCATAAATGATCTCTAAGCAACCCCTTACACCTACCATCAAATGGTGAAGTTCCTAAACCTAAGAGTCAGTATTGCGTGGAGTAAGCAGTGCGAGGCCAGGTCGTGCGACATGCTCTCCATGAAAGGCAAGGCAAGGGAATCCCAGACACCTCGCCAATTGAGAAGTCTCAGGCCCACCTACAGAAGGACAAAGATAAGGAGTGAACAATCACTATGGAAAATTTGAAAGAATTTCTACTCAGCATCGATGAAACTAAGAAAGTTCAAACAAGCTTAGAACTGGCCAAACCACCGCTAGGAGCGATCGAGTTCCTCCGCGCAAAAGTAGTCGTTTTTGCCTGAGGACCCGAAGACATGTCGGGTATAGCCCCAAAAGTAATAGCTCATGAGCTATGTATCGACCGACACTGCATACAGGTCTGACAGAAGATATATATCGGATTAGAAAAAAATAACAGCAGAAGAATTTGACTGATTACTAAAGGCATGATACATCCAGGAGGTCCAATATCCAGAATAGCTGACCAATATAGTGCTAGTCAAAAAGACCAATGGCAAGTGGAGGATGTGTGTCAACATTATCAACCTCAACAAATCTTACCAAAAAGATATTTTTCCCCTCCATTGAATCGATCGACTAGTCGATTCAACTCAAACTATGAAATTCTCAGCTTCATAGATGCTTTCTCATGTTACAACCAAATAAATATGGTAAAGCATGATGAAAAAAAAACTTCCTTCATAACGGACCAGCGGCCTCAAAAATGCAAGAGCAATCTACCTGAGACTGATCAACAAGATCTTCAAAGAGCAAACTAGCTGCAATGTGGAAGCATATGTGGACAACATCCTAGTGACATCCAAGCATGTCAACTTCCACATTGCTAATCTCGAAGAAGCTTTCTCCACTTGTGATGTCCCTGTTTTCACACATGGCTGCAGTCCAAGTTGAACCCAGAAATATCAAACATATTATGCACCCACACTGTGTAACAACACGTTTCACCATCATAGTAATATCTCTCTAGTGGAATCAACAATAAGTGTAGGTACAAAACAGGCAAAATACGAGAAATAAATACATTAGACATGATGTAGAAAGAGATATCTAATAAATATAATCATGTATCAACTGAATAAACTGTATTAAACTGAAGTCTGAAATGAATGTGAAGTATCTTAATATGAGTTAACTGAAAAAAAACTAAGACACACAGCCTTTACAAAAGATGAAAGACAAAACTCTAAATGTCCGAAAGAAAATATCAACTATGGTGGAGTCACATCTACTAAAAATATGTGATGACGACTATGCTGAAAGTCCGTCATCCTGCGGCTCTCCGAAACTCTGAGTTGCTGCCTGAAAAGAATTGAAAAAATAAACAGAGAAACAAAAAGAACGTCGGAGAGCTACAGCAATATTATCTCCATCCGTCCCCAAGTGAAGGGCTACT